GTTTTGGCTTTTTTTCAGCAAGTCACTGCCAGGGACCTCAGAAAGTCCTTTACATTGTGAGCTCCCACTTCTAGTAGGTGTTAGTTACATCATTTTACTGAGCATTTTAAACAATTTGATCATCACTACAGTTCTATGAAATAGAAATTGAAAGTTTCTTCATTTTACAATTGAGGAAACAGGCAAAGGAAGATTTTATAACTGGCCAAGATCACTCATCTAGTAACCTGGGGGAGTTGAGTGAGACTCAAAGGCAGGTGTTCTGTGCTTTGGGCCATTTTTGCTTTTCTGCTTCTCAGCCATTAGTTGGATGGATGAATGCCTACAAGGACACTAGGCTAGCTGGCATTGCCAGTTTAGCCTATTCTGAGCTTGAAAGTAACAGAAAACCTGCTTCCTTCCTTGGGTACCCAGTGTGGAAGGGCTCCAACAAGACAGGAGGGGTTCTGACATGGCTCCTAATCTGTTGCGTCTGGTAATAAGCAGTAGGCAGCGAAATGGTCATGTCAGCTCTAGGCAGCTCCACATTCCACTCTGGACCCTGGCAGCAAATAGTGTTCTAGCTTGGACTGTAATCTTTCACATCTCAAGGTTCTTATTACTGCCTTCATTTCACTTCGCAACAACTGTATACGTAGTGAAGGACTTCAATAGAGAGGTATTATGTCTTCAATAGAGAGGGAAAACATGCAGGGAGATTTGTGTTTAGGGCCATAGCTGGTATGTTGAGAATATGCAGATCATGAGCTGCTCCCAGAGGAGGCACAGACCCCCCACATGGGGTGGGCAGAGACCTCTCTCAGCATTTAAGCTGCCACTCTGGGTAGTGAGAACCTTGGGGTCATTTTGCTTGCATGTGCAGTTTCAGTACACCCACGCAGCGGGAGCTGGCTCCAGGCATGGGGTTAGGTGGGGCACAGCGAGCCGGGCCACAGGTGGTCTCCTGTTCCAGACCTGGAGCGAGCAGGAGACAGAGAGCAAGCTGGAAACTGTCCATCACTCCTATGGTGGTTGGGATAGAAGTTACCGACTTTTGCAGACTCCAACTCTAAGTGATTATTTTTGAAAGGTACACCAGAAAAAAGCAAAGTGGCAGGAGCCCTAAGCGCAGGTCCTTATCTAAATGTTCAGATTTTGTGGTGTGAGCAGAGTTGGCTTACTGTAAAATGCCTAGGCATCAACTGTAAACAGCTGTTTCCTCATCACAAAATTCTATTGTTGGGGACCAGGTCCCCATATCCCCAAACTCCCTTCTGTTGTTATTCTGTTGGAAGACACCTTCAGCTCCCTCTCTGTTCAACTTTATCGCCTTTGGGGTTTCCAGATGCTTCGTGAAGCCTAAGACAGTCCTACAGCTATTTTTACAATTTCCCACCCTGTTGGCCCCCAAGACTAGTGAGAAAATGCTGGCCCAGCACTTAGTGAACCACAAGCAGGAACCCTAGAACTCATGTGTACTTGAGTGAGGGTCCCCTAAGAACCTCAAAACAGTGGGCTGCTGCAGTTACTAAGAGCTGCCTGCGGCGGAACTTGGGGGGCACTCACTCTCCTGCCTGCTCAGGAGAGGTGCTGGCCCCTTACCTGCAGGGCTGCCCCAGCTGTGCAGCGCCCCCAGTCCGGCATGCGTGTTGGTGGAGCACCTGCTACTCTCTCCTTTTTGCTCTGCACCCTCACTTGAGCATATTAGTCTCTGTCTCTCTGTCTCTCTCTCTCTCACACACAAACACATACACACACACACACACACACTTTCTCACATACACACACACACACTTTCTCACACACACTTTCTCACACACACTCACACACACTCTCACACACACACTCACACACACACACACAGTGCTGGCAGCAGAAAGAGCAGCATGAGCAGAACCTGCCACTGAACAGTTTCAGACTGGCGCTGTTTGCTTTTGGCCACATCACGTAGTCTCATGCAGTAGCACTTAACCCCCTCATTTTGGTATAATCCCTTGAACTGCTTCACATACCGCAAAAGGCTGAGAATGAGTAAGGAACAGTTTCAAAAGAGCCCTCAAAGCTCAACAGGTGTGGAGATGTTATCTCAATTCTGGTCATAGGTGTTGTACGGAGAGAATCATTCGCTGATTTTCTTACAAGCTATGGAAGCCCACATTTGAGCTGTCAGACCTTGTGAATCTCCACTTCACAGCTTACTCAGGGCAGTCCCAAGCGAAGTTCTGAAAGTAGATAAAGTCTCCCTTGAGTTCTAGTGATGGGGCTACCATGATCTGACCTAGATTTCTAGTTGCCTGCCTGTCCCATGCTGCCACATAATAGGCCACAGTGAATGCTGGACTTACAGACTCTTTATTCTAATGTTTAAAGGCTGTTGGAGTTCTCAGATTGCCTCCAAAAGAATCATGAGCAAAGATGCTTACATTTGCCAACAAGAATGAAAAAATAAACACAAAAGCAACACCCCATGTTTCCTTCCAATCATCAGTAACTACCTTAGTCTTCCCATTTTGCTGGGAGCCATCCTTATGGGGTCGTCAGTTGCCAGTTTCCATATGGTGTCAGGGAAGACAGTGGGGCCACCAGTGAATACCGTGCTCACAGAGTGCCATGGGCCTCCGCAGTCATGCCGTCACCCTTAGTAACAGCGTCCAGACCCGAGTTACTGTGCTGCTGGTAGCTTAGCAAGCTCATAGATTGCAGCCTTGGGAGCATCACAAAGCTGAGAAATCAGTTAAGTGACTTCCTTGAGTGGTACGTGCTTGGTGGATACTCTCCTCCCTCTTTGCATCACTTTGAGAAAATTAAGTTGCGTCCTGATAACATGTAATGATCCAGTCTATTTCTGTCACCTCTGAAATATGAAGCCCTTCTAGAACCTTCATCTTCAGCTGATCTGGGTTCAGATTCTGGGTTTCCTGACCACTACCATGAGGATCTCTTTTAACTGCCAGGCTTACTCAGACTCAGGCACTGAGGCCCCTCATCCCGGGACCGTTTGGTGTAAAGGATAGCGGGTGTGTCTTACTCGTGGGTTCTTGATGGTCACTTTGAGGAGACTAGAGCAGAATCCAGCACTGAGTGCTGACTACCTGCTGCTTCCTTTTTTGGTACATAACAGCATTATCTCCTTCAGAAAGGAAGGAGCAAGCAAGAACCTAAGGAATCATCATGGTCCTCATCTTCATTTTTCTGGTGGGGAATCTGAGATTTTAGAAAGCTCTGTATTTTGCCAGAACGTTCATAGCTGGTAAAGCGAGAGGCAGGACTTACCAGCCTCCTGGAGAGCCTGCGGTGTATTTCATGTTGCTCGTTTGCTCATTCTGTTTTCCTTTGGGTTGCTAATTTAGGGGCAACACAATTTCAAAAGCAAAAATGCAAGCGTACCAGAGACCACTCCTGTGCCAGTTCTGGGAACCCTGAGCCCAGAAATGGTGAATTACTTCCTCGTCCACGCTACGTGAGGAAGGGAAACAGAGGAAAAATAAACTATTCCATAAGGACATGCATTGAAAAGTAAATTTCTCTGCCACTCGGACCCTGTTACTCCACTTCCCTTTCAGCAGCACCCACCCACACCCATTGGAGAGGTTCCTTGGGCATGTGTGTGTCTGTGTGTGTAGATATCTCACTTAGGCTTGGTAGAAACACCCAATTGACCACCCTTCATCCTGCTGTTTTCTCAGGGTGTCCTGGGGGTGTTTCCATGTACACACTAAATGCCTCTTGTATTCCGTGGTATATTTTGTATCTAGGCATTTACCTATTTCAATACTGCCTTTCTATTGTCTTAAGACTATTGCTTCCACACCAGCAATTTCTGTGCACTGTGTAGGTTTCCTTGCACCTGTGTCTCTGTATGTCCATGGGCTGAATTCCCAACAGTGGAATTCAAAGCCCAGGATCTCACCACCCCTGGGCACTTATTTCTGAGGACAAGCCTGCCCCAGAAAGAGCTGACCGCTCTCGGCCTGCTGCAGGACAGTGCCCTCTGCAGTTGGACACTGCAGGTCTAGGAAGAATTTTGCCAGGTTTCTATCAGTGGGCAAGAGAACAGGGTCTGGTTGCTGGTGGTGTGTGAGCTCCGACCTCTGCTGCGTACTGAGAGCTGCTTCTGGCACAGCTGATGAAAGCTAAGATCCCAAGTCAGCACATTGGGCCCCTCCCCTGCTCTTCCCCCGGTGCCATTTCGTCCTTCTCACCCACTGCTCGTGCCTCATACAGGTTACTTTTCTTCCCCCACCAATGTTGCCTCCTTCTGCCCACCTTCCTTAGTCAGGTTGATTTCCTCAGATCCTTCTAAATCCCAGGAATGACTGACCCCCCCCACCACCCCTACATTTCTGTGCCCTGTGGGGACCATCTTTGGAAGGGCCACTGGGTTACTTGTCCTCAGGCTTCCTGTAGCTATTGAACTAATGTCACATTGTCAGTGTTTGCAGCCAGCAAGCACCAAGCCCTGCTAAGGCCAGGATCCCGGTTCTGTCAGATTTCTGCACACTCCTAGCTGTGCCCCCTCACAAAGTCAAAAGTAGCACTCAGAAAACTGTCATATTAGGTAACTGCCAAATTAGGGAGGCACTGAAAATGTCTCTGGAGTTAGAGAAGAGAGAACAGAACAGCTGGTGAAGGTGGGCCTAGAGATGGGCCTTCCGGGGCGGAGGCTTTAAATAGCTGGGTTACATCACTGTTAGTGGTGATATTAGTGAGTAGCCACACTGATTGGCAGGCACAGTGCTGTGCACAGGCCACAGATTCCCTCTCACACTCCAGCCCCACGTGGAGGAGATCACTGTTGCTCCCCCTTCTGCAGCTGAGGAGGGTGGTAAGAGAGGTGAGAACTGGGTGCCAAGGACCTGTTCTGAGCCCTCTTTAACCTGTTCACCAGGTCTGTGTGGCTCCCAACTCCTCCTCCCCTCCACTGATTGTTCGCTCAGAGGGTACCTCCCCTCATCTTGGCAAACTGAGGACCCCCACCTGCTTTCTGGGTCCCCTGTCCAACTGCTTTGTTGTCTTTCTAGGACTTCTGCCATGGGCAGGTGATGTGGCCGCCTCTCAGTGCCCTGCAGGTGAAGCTCGCTAAGCCCGGGCAGTCCTGCAAGCAAGTGTGCCAGGAGAACCAGCTCATCTGCGAGCCTTCTTTCTTCCAGCACCTCAACAAGGACAAGGACATGCTCAAGTAAGTGTGTGAGGAAAGGGGGCGTAGAAGTGGGCTTGCTCAGCCTCCAGCTCCCCTTCTGGGTTAGAGTTGGGTTTGCAGGCTTGTGGGCTGTCAGAAAAAGATGTGGAAAGGGGGAGCAGGTTGCAGCACGACACCCCCACCCCCCACCTTCCCACCAGAGAAAGTTCACGCAGCATTTTTATTGTTAGATAGATGAGGTCACCTGGCATGATATATTTAGAATTTAAATGGGGGTGTTGTATCTGCATAAATAATGCCATGTCTGGGCTTGGAGATTGTGGGAGGTGTTCAGTTTGCTAATTTACACCCAAGAACCATGGGAGAAGAGGTGGGCCCAGAACCACAAGCACAAACCGACCCACACTTGGGGTCCCCTGGAGGAGCCTGGTAGTGTCTTCACCTGATGTTAGACAGGAATAAGGTCTAGGCCAGAACTGTCACAAGGGATCTCACTCTACCTCCTACAGCCCTCTGCCCACTTTTGTACTCTATTCTGGCACCTTTGGCATGGGGTGCCTTGCAGGGGGCATGAGCAGGCCTGATTCTGCTGGCCCCTCTGCAGGAGGTGAGTCCAGCACCAGAAGGCAGGACAGAGCTGCCCCAGGAGAGGCCTCTGTGTAGCTTGGGTTTTCCCCTTGGTCTTGAGTTGCTTTTAGGGATGTCATTTGTTTCCCTTTGCAGTGGCATTTTGAGTTTGGCATTTGCAGTTCCCAAATTTCCACAAGAGCTCTCTTCTGGCCTCTGACTCATGAGCCCTGTCAGTGCTAAATCTGTGCCCCTAATTTTTGTCACACTCACCAATGTCTCTTAATAACCTCGCCTCCCAGCACACCCCCCACCCCCACCTTAATAGCTCTACTTAGGTATTTCCTTGTAGGGGTTTGCTATCCCAACTCACCCAGGGCAGAAGCCTAGAACCAGAAAGGGAGCAATGGGTCAGATTCCTCTGTTCATCTTTTCTCACCCATAAAATGAGGTCATCCTGGATGATGGCTAGATAATGTGCAGCCAGTGCTGTAAACAGTAGAAAGTCCTTCTGCATAGGCTTGGGCAGTGGCCTGCGGCCCACTCCCACCCCCCACCCCCAAGCTCCCTGAGGAGCCCAGACTAACAGAGGCCATGTAGTGGAGCGGTCCGTGGTCCTGTGCTGTGGGATTGCTTCTCCTGCCGCCCCCACTGTAAACGTGTGGGTTTTCTCCTAGGAGGCTAGGGTGATTACTAATTTTGCAGTACAACTGCCTGAAGTTAATCCTCTGCACATAGGAGCCCTACGGGATACCTTGTTCCTGCAAGGTGAGACCCAGCAAGAAGTCATCCACGGAGTGCTGCCTGGAGTGAGCAGGGCCTACTCTCTGTCATCCTGGTCAGGCAGCAGTGGGCACTTCCACCAGCCACGGCTGCTTGTCTTTCTCCAACCTGGGGCCTGGTTCTGAGGCGATCCCCTTGCACTCTTTAAGTCTCCATGACCTGGAGGCCTGTTGAATGGATAAATTTGTATCTCATAACTTGAGCCCTTGGAGCAGCCTGCACTGTTATCTTGAATTAGGGGAGCCTGTCTTTGTGCCCTCACAGACAAGGTGTAAGTGCTGGAGGCCTAAGTGCAAACTCCTATGCATGAAGCCTGCCCAAGTCAGCGGGTCCAGGACCCGGGTCCGGAAGGCAGAGCCCCTGCCAGTTGGGCCCCATGTGGGGGACCTCTACTCCATAAATGGGGTCCCATGGTAATATGAAAGCTGACTTGCCATTTTGCTACCTTTCCAAATGTGTCCTCTAAAACACCAAATTACCAGTGCTTGGGGTTCTTTTGAAAAAGGAATTGTAAGCCATGGCATTGAGAATGAGTGTGATGGTGCCTGAGAAAAGAGAAGAGGCCCAGATTCACAGTGGTCACAAGAATGTGTTGGGGGGGGGTAGGGGGAGGGGTTGGCAGAGACAAAGTTAGGAGTGGGTGTGAGAGGAGAGGAGCTCAGTGCCAGGACCAGTAGGTGGCGTGGCCCTGCCTCCATCTCTTCATCCTCTTGGCCTGTGTTATGGGTGTGTCTCTACTTCTAGCCCTAGAATTATAAAATGTGAACAGAAGCCCCAACTCCCATCCTGTGAGAAAAGGAGAGAGGCAGCACCACAGCGGCCTTCAGAGAGGAAGCAGCTCTGTGCCAGTGTCTGACAGGAGGGGGTATTATGAGAGTGTGGGAATGAGTGCAGGGTGCGTGTGTGTGCATGTGCATGCATGCATGTCACAGGGCCCATAGTTAGGGACTGAGTCATCCTCTGTGGAGGATGACTGTAGAGACTGATTTCTGGGGGTCCTCTAGCAACTAGGGTTAAGTCACCCACATCTCTGGCGAGTGTGACTCATTACTTGCAAGGATGACAGAGTAGCTAGCCTTCCTGACTGCCCAGGGCTGAGGGATGGGGGCCCTGGAGGGGAAACCCCCTGGAGACTTGGAGGTTGGGTGGTTGGTGTCCATATAGGCCTGGGCTGTGTGTGCCCACAGAATTCAGTTGACTTCCCTTTGGGGAGCAGATTGTGGCCTAGGGAACATCTGCTGCTTGAGCACCCTATGGTATCTCTGGACATGGCCCCTGACAGCTGCTTCTGTGGCCTCAGCTGAGGTACACTCACAGGCATGCATGTGCTCATTCCTGGGGCTGTGTCCAGACTGAGTCTATGTGACCAGGGACAGGAGCAGGAGTGTTTCCTTGTGGCTCCTGACAATTTAGACTCTGCCATAGGTGCTGAGATTCATTGTACATATTTCCATGTTCTGCTAGCAGTATGAAAGGCAGATACAAAGAATCTCTTAGAATTTACCTAAATAAATAATATGAATATAAATCTTATCCAGTACCAAATTTCACATTACAAGGCAAACTTTAATGTACAGTTGAACTCTGATACTCCTTCCTCTGGATAAGCTATTAAGGGTATCCTGTGACAGACCTAGAAACACTAAATTCTCTGACTCATTTTTCCTTTAGGAAACCCACAAACCCCCATTTCCTGCCTCGTTTTCATGGTCCACGACCTTAGCCCTGTGCATACGTCTATCTCCCAGATGGCAAGGCAAGATGAGAAGCGTGGGGCCTAAGAGAGAAGCCAAGAGCTTTCTAGTGACTGCATGAGCAAGATCAGTGGGGCCACTGCCCTCCAGGGCACCAGGAGCTCACTGGGAGCTTCGGAGAACTCACCAGAAGCCCGGTAGAAGAGCAAGGAATCATGAGAGTAACCTTAGCAGGCAAGGCACAGGCAGTTAGTCAGAGGATGACAAAAAAGAGGCAGAGTAAGAGAGAGTATGATGCTTCATTTCAACATGTGGCAGGTTTCCAGAGGCAGCAGGAAACCTCAAGTTTCCCAACGTGATCCTCTCCCTGTTGGCAAGACCAGACTTCCACACACAAAGCAAAATGGAGACTGTTGCATGGGTGCAAATTGACATCATAGGGCAAGGAAGGAAGGCCGTGCAGCCCCTGTAGCATCTGTCAGGGCAGGAATATGGTCTGAAGGATGGTGATGATTGCAGCCATGGTGATAGTGCCATTAATTAATAATTGTGGTAATTAATTCATAGTTACCAGAGAAAGACACTGCCAAGTACTCTGTGAGCATAATTTAATTCCTACATCTCCCCTGTGAATTAAAGACTATCCCCATTGGGCAGAAGAGGAAACAGACCCAGAGAGGCTCAGTCATTTGTTCACGACCACACAGCTCATAAGAGATAAAACCAGGACTCAAACCCAGGACTCCCTTACTTCCCTACTGTGCTTTCCTCCTTGAATTGATTCCCACCTGACTGTGAGCCACCGTGCTAAACATCTGGTGAGGCATCGTTCTGGGGGAGCCTTGGCAGGTGGCCATGGTACTCCAGACACAAGGAGTTGATAGGTGGCTGTTTAGATATGAGGCCACACTGTGGGCACAGAACACCTGGTCGTTCTCAGCCACACTTGCCATGGTCCCAGCCTGAGAGTGTGAAGCCACAAGGGTCCCCGCCCACAGACAGTTTCAGCTGCTGAAAGAGCAGAGGAACGAGGCTACAGTGCATGAGCTCAGGGCCTAGATCCTGAACCCTGCTCTGGAGGCCTCAGGTACTAATCTCCAAAACGGGGCTCAGGGTGTTGGGGTGGGGGGAATCATACTAGGCCAAAGGGTCAATGCAAAGCTCCCGTGAGTCAGTGTCCCGTAGACATCACCTACCCTCAGGAGGCCATTTGCCTGCCGTCCTGCAGGAGTTGGAACCTTTTAACATGGATTTTTTAAGCTGTTTGTAAAAATATTGAACATAGTTCTTTAAAATACTTCCATAATGTGCATCTGTGCTGCTCTCATTCCTCAGTAGTAACTACTTTTCGGCTTCAGTGTGTAGCTTTCCTTATTATTTGCAAGCACGGTGTGCATGCACCCCAACCCCCACCCCCACTGTACATCCATTCTGCCACAGGCCTCTCTGTAGAAGTACTTGCATTTCTACCTCATTCTTTTCAAGGGCTGCATAGAACCCTGAAAGCACAGATGTGCCATAATTGACTCAGTCATTCCCCACTTGGTGAGTACTCAGGCTGTTTCCAGGTTTCCTCTATTACAAACAAGCTTCACACATCTCTGCGTTCCTGTCAATCCTTCCCGGTCCTAGGTTCCTAGGGGCTAGTGTGACTGGGTCAGAGGATGGCTGCCCCTTCATTTCTGTAGCGGGAGACCCAATGTGCCCCCGCCTTGTGATATGCAGCTGAAGGAGCCAGGGGGTAAGGACAGTCCCTGAATGTCCAAACCCGTGAGCCTTTCTCTTCTTCTTTAGGTACCAGGTGACCTGCCAAAGCTCAGACCTGGCCAAGGACATCCTGGTGCCCTCCTTCGACCCCAAGTACAAGCACTGTGTGTTTCAAGGTGACCTCCTGCTGTTCAGCTGTGCCGGCGCCCACTCCAGGCACCAGAGGATCTGCCCCTGCCGGGACTTCATCAAGGGCCAGGTCGCCCTCTGTAAGGACTGTCTATAGCGGCACTGGCCAGCCCCATGCACACTCCACTGGGAACGACAGTGGCTCCAGCCCTGGGGGAAGAGCCAGGGGCTCCAGGTCATTCAGGGACTCTCGCCAGAGCCTGAACATTTTGGTGGAAGGTTTCAATTTGTTATTGCTCCTACTGAGGTCAGGTCCACAGTGGGGTTTTCACCAAAAGAAAACCAGAGCGGATGTCAGGCCCGGTGCCTGGGTCCTCCCTGGCCAAACTGTAGGGAGACTCTTGATGCAGCTGCTCCGGGATAGGAAGAGAGTCTCAAGATTAATTTCAGAAAAAAACCAGAAAAGGAATTGAGCAGATTGGAGAAACTCTATGGGAACATTCTTCAACCCATTAACTTATTTATTTGGGGGAGGGGGGGAGGTGGTGGGGGAGGGCAAAGGGGTGGATCACACTTCTTGTTTCTTTGATTTTCCACTGTTTACCATCGGCCATGATAATATCCCTGTCTGCGTTGGATGGGGTGCCGGAGGGAGACACTGGGCTGTGGGGCTGGTGGCACTCTTGAGGCAGCTGCGGGGGCCCAGTTCCTGGAGGTGGAGAGCGGCACAACAAGAAGTCATGCATGGCATGACCGCAGCTAGAGGACGAGAACCCCTGGTGTGGGGACACGCCTGTGTGGTCCAGAGAGCCTGGCCAGGGACCAAAGACGGGGCTACTGTGCAGTAGAGAGTCTCCTTTTCTCTCTGCACCAGCCCCCCACCCATCCGACACACAGTTTGGTCCGAATTTTGGCGAGAGTCCCTTTAGGAAAAAAATACAAAGTTGGGGAGTTGACATTTGCTAGTAAATCAGCCCTCCTTCATGCACCCCAGGAAGGAAGAGGGTAGAAAGAGAGTTATGAGTTATCTTGGACTTGAAAAACTTGCTCCCTATCTCCCACGGGGTTGTCATTGAACTGGGGTTCTGAAAGGAGTGAAACTGGCCCCTTCCCTGAAGTCCAGGAATAGGACCCACTTTGCACTTGATGTTGGCTGTGGGGGCAGGGGCAAGTTGGGGTGAATCTAGTGCTGGCTTAGTGTTCATCTGTAGGCACAGGTGTGGCCTGCATAGGGTGGGAGTCTGGTGACTTTTACTCCAAGCACGAATACTGTGAGGGGCATTAAGCTGGCAGATTCACCCATCCTGTAGCCCTGGAGTCCCAGTGCACCCCCTTCACCAAGCACTGCTTCAGTGCTGTGAGTGAGTGCAGCCCCAGCCTCCTGCTGGTAAGAGTGGGCCCTCTTCTCTCTCTTGCAGAATGTCCTCATTACAAGCTACTACCCGGCCCACCGAGCCCCCCAAGGGTTTTGAATGCCTTGCTCTCTGGAAACTCACTCTGCACCACTGGCAGCCCTGTGCTTCCTCGCATTGGCCAGCTGTGTAGCAGAAAAGAGGCAAAGCTAAGGGCCAGGGTGGGCCTTTGGGACGTGAAGCTCAAGGAGGAATTCGGCTTTGTGAAGACCATAGGGTGGTAGAGTTTTAAGGTAGGGGAGTGTAGATTCTGTCTGCTGCTTCTCAGTCAACCCCTGGTGTGTAGGTAATGCAAGCCTCTTTAGTAGACCTTCACTAGGTTGTTGGTACCTCCAATCCGAGGATGAAGGCCAGGCAACCAGGGTCTCCCTAGCCCTAAGTTGCCTCTGAGGGCTTGTGTCAGGGAGAGTACTGATGGGGAGGCGTCTGCCCTGAGCGCTGATGGATGCAGGTACCCTCACAAATTGGCTGAGACCAGCCTCTGCTGAGGCCCAGCAACAAGAAGGGTGTAGTCATAGGAAACCTTGGTGATTGGGGGAGGGGGAGTGTGAGAGAGAGAGAGAGAGAGAAAATGAAAATGAAAATGAAAATGAATGTGTTCTTTTAAAATTTACAAAGGCAGTTTCCTGCAGTAAAAGGAGAAACCACTATTCCTTCCCTGCTGCTAGGAATTGCTTTTCCCCATGAGTGGGCCTCTGGCTGCACCCAGGTTGTGGAAAACTTGCTTGAGCTTCCAGGCCTGCATGCAATTTCCGGGTCACTTCTGCCCTCTCCTGGGCTCTTCTGATACCTTCCAACCCTGAGCATGGTGGCAGCCTTTAGACCAGCAGGGGGAGCCTCCAGAGGGGAGACCACTTCCCATGCTTAGCTAGAAGGCCCCCTTGAGCAGACAGCTGTTGAAATAAGCACAGGAAATCAGAAAGCTGCTGGAAGCAGCTGGAAAACTACTTTCCTTAGAAAGAAGCTGTGCCTGCCTGTGTTCCAGAAGTAACGGGATGTTTACTGGCTGCCCCTGAGCTCAGGGTCTCACCCCTCCTCTCCACCTACCCTTTCCTCTTCTCACATCAGGGCTCTCAGGCCACGAAGCCGAGCAGAGCACTTTTTTGAAAGTCCCGCTTGCTTTGTCTAGTTCCATACCTGGTTGCAGTTCTGCTGGCAGGGCTGCTGGTCTGGGGGAAAATCAACCCACACTCCGGGTGTTAAGGGCATTATGAAGAGCAGTGACAACAGGGGATGTACACAGGCCCTCAGCTTCCTCACACTGAGCCCGAGAGAGGAGGCAAGAAGGGCCTCCATGAAAGGGTCCCTCAGTCATCCCCTGGTGTGTAGGTCATACAAGCCTGTCTGTAGTAGACCCACTACGAGGTTGTTTGTACCTCCAATCCTAGGGTGGAGGGCAGGCAGCCAGGATCTCCCCATGGAAGGGTTCCTGCCTGCCCCAGGAGGTGAGCACCTGTCAGTGTGGGCTGGGCCGTGAGAACCCCAAGAGAAGGGCTGGCTTCCTCCAGGCCAGCCATGCTCTCCTCAGCTGCTCACCCATGCCTTAGGGGGTATCTGGGGACTGCTGGTTGCCAAGTGCCCGAGAGCCTGTCCTGCCAGCAATTTGCTAGTGCCCATTGTAATAGAATCCTAAGCCAATTTGGGATTGACAGTTCCACAGGAGGAGAAATCCTTCTTCAGTCAGTAGCCCAGTTCTTGTGCTAGGAGGGGATCTTGCCTGGTGTTCAAGGCTTTTTTGTGTGCATAATTTTCCTAATTGGAATTTGGACTCCCCCCCCCCCATTGTAATCCTAAATTCTTTAAAAACTTGAGGGGGGGAGGGGAAGTAATTAAGAAAGTAAACGTTCCCTTGAGAAATAAATGCTTTCAAGAGTAAAACCTATTTTTACTCCTGAAAAGGGAAACACACTACTTTTAATGCCAGTAAACACCTCATTGATTCCATGTATGTAATTTGATTTGCACATGTGAAAATGGAGACATTTTTGGCATTTTTGCTTAGTTTGGGTTTTTGTCACTGCTCATAGTTTGCTTTGTGTGTGTTTCTGCTGTATGTTTGGAATTATTGAGTTGTTTGTTTGATATTTATTATTTTTCTGATGTGCCTTTTCACTTTCCTTTGGGGTTGGTTTTTGGGATCAGGCTGCTTTTGAGACAAGGTTCCTCTTGCTTGGAGAGAAGACATGTTTTCTGTCACTGCAGATGCTCAGACCAGGCATCAAAATTGCACTCCGTGCCATAGTATATGTGCACATATACCCCACACGCCGTGAGAACCCCAAGAGAAGGGCTGGCTTCCTCCAGGCCAGCCATGCTCTCCTCAGTTGCTCACCCATGTCTTTGGGTGTATCTGGGGACTGCTGGTTGCCAAGTGCCTGAGAGCCTGTCCTCCCTCCCCTACCCCCCCACCCCCAGGCACTTGTGGCTGGGGCAGACCAGCCCTATCTTTGGGGTTGCACTGAAGGGGAGCAGGCCCAGCTGTGCTCATTAGCAGCACTGGCCTAAAAACACTATTTGGTTAGCATCTTGCAGGGGAAAGATCATGAACCTCCCTTTTTTGTTAGTGAGTACAGGACTTACAGTGGCGACGCCTTAGTTTCCCTGCTGGGAGTGGAGCCCTGTGCAACTCTCTGGCAGTGACAGCGTAGATGCCTTGGGATGGACTGAGACCATGTGCTGTTCTAGGCAGGTTTGTGTGCTTTAGACCAGATCAAGGCAGGCCACCCCACGTCTCCAAGGTGTATATAAATGGGACCTCGCCAACCACCCACATTCCCTGAAAATTCTTGATTTTAAAAAAATGTTTATTTTGTTAACGACAGGCTCTGTTGTGTGTTATATCCCAAGCCTGGATTGCTCTATTTATTTAAAAATGCTGTAAGCTCCATATTGGCTTCTTTCTAATCCCATTATTTTGTTGGGGGGGGGGGCTACAGAGCACCTTCATACCTTCATGTGAAGAGGTAGGTATAGATTCCGGCTCTTTTAGGAAAGTGGGAATTTCCTAAGGCTGAGGCTGAGTTCTTTTCCTTCTTGTTGGCTTCAACAGAAATGGCCAGCCACATTTTTATAGCAAAAGGCCAAATTAGTTGTATAGTCTTGGAAGCAGAAATAAATTGCCCTAGCCTTTTCCTTAGCACTTAGGGGTTTTGTGAGGATTCAGTGTTTAGCAGTGTCTGGCACATAGTAAGCCTAGTAAATGTTAATATTGTTGTTATAATTAGCATTTCTTATAGTTTGAGAAATTGAGAGCTGAGCTCACATCCTACCTGTTGAGAAATACCCACATGAAGATACTGTTCCAAATTGATGGACTAGCGTAGGAACTGTTGGTTTAAGATGTTCAAGTTCCATGTCCACTCTGCTGGTTGGAACATTGCTGTATCCCTGAATGCACTGATTTGAAAATATGCCAGTTGAAACTAGGCTCTAAAATTTGTAAGCTGACAATGACAAAAGGGTGGCCTTTGGCGGCCTTCTGGACGAAGCCTGGGTTTTTCTTTACAAAACTTTTTAATCTAGAAATTAAATGAATTCTCACTTGCCCTGAAAATCAGTTAACTGTGGTCCTCTGAAATATGAAATTTTGTTTTTTATTTAAGAAAAACACTGACCAGTGGAATATATGCCTGTCCCAGGAAGTTGTCCCCTGCTGGCCGGGGAGGCCCCTCCACAGACCAATCCTCAGGGACCAGTCTCCTGGGCTGATTAGCTGTCACTTATTTGTTGGTCCTCATCCCAGAGAAGACCCATCTCCCCAGAGGCCAGCCAGGACTCCCTCCAGATAGGGGTGGAAGGGGCTCAGGACACATGTGGTAGGGCTGTCAGAACCCTTCAAAGGTTCAGTGATGTTTTCTGCTCACCAAAAATATCAGTTCACTGTTTTGTATTATTGGGGGTTTATCCTCTTCCCTGTTATCTCGAGTTTTGTCTCCTGTCCTATTTCAGCCTAACTGGATAGATTATAGTTGTGATGGAGAAACTTGCTAGAGTCCAGTATCTTTTTTCAAGTTCCTTTGGATTCTCTTCGACTGAATCAGTAGTCTTCTACTTCTGTGGATGTAAGTTTGGAATTTACCCTCTTTTAAGCATCACCCCCCCACCCCAGGTTTTGTGCAGCCTTAAGATCCCCACTCCCTCTGCCACACAGCTGGTGAGGGGAATGGCCATGTGCTCACGCATGGGTGGCATATCACTGTTGGTGGCGGGTAGTGGCACTGAGGGAGCCCTCTGGGTGCAGGAGGTGGGGAGGCTCGCTGGGACATCTGCCGCCTCTGCCAAAGCTGAGATGGGGAAAACTTGAGAAGCATTTGCTCACTGCCCCGGTGTTAGCAGGGCAATCACGGGACATTCAATGCCAAAGGAGATGGTGATGTCCTTTCTTCTGTAGCTGCTGTCACAACCTTGATGTCTTTAAGCTAATGGCTGTTCGCGTCTGTCTTCAGCTCCTGGTACACCCACTTTCTACTGTTCACTTCTGGGGTTTAGTAGTACAGAATTCTGCAAATAAGGTGTCGCTGTCCAAATGTACTGTACCGGCATAGAGAGCACTGCTTTGTTTTCCACTGTCGTAGAAAAAACTAGGGAGAACTTTATTTTTCAATAAATTTTTCTTGTGTGACAGGTGGAAGTGATTTTTGGGGGGAGGGGCTGGGGAGCCTGGTGACCTACAGACCAAAGTTCGCAAATGTCCTGCTGCAGCCCCCAATACCGGTGTCCACGGACGTCATGCCATTTGCAAAAGTGCTGAAAGATGGGAAGGTATGATTAAGAAGGATTTTCCTGTGGAGTAGAATTTCCCTATACACATAGCCAGTAACCACTTCAAAGCACTCTTTCTGGTCTACATTTACGGAGCAGGGAAGTGAATTAGCGGACTGCTGGCCTTTTTAAATTTTTTTTTATATAATTGTGTACTATAATGAGAACATTTCACACTCTTTAAGAATGTGCTAATAAGATCGCTCTTAAAAGGCTATCTGAGGACCTACTGGACCAGGAGCCCCCCACCTCATCCTCCCCACCCACCCCCAGGCACAGTAAGGTAAGGCACACACGGGCTTGTCTGGAGTGGGTGCTGGAGGTCTGACCTGCTGCCCATACTGTTTGGTAGGACACACAGGGTCGAATACGCATAGTTTCTAGTTTGCTATATACGAGCTTCCACAGTGTCGAACACGATAAGAAAGATTTCAGGGGGGAAAAATTGAATCGCACATTTCCTAGACTATTCCCTTGTAACTAGTGACCACCATCCCATAGAACACAGATGCTGGTGGAAGAGCCTCGCTGAGAGCATCAGAGTGAAATAAGGTCAGTGACCTCTTATCACAAATCACCTCAGCCTGAAACATTGGGGGGGGGGGGGGTTGAGGTGTCACGGAGGCAGGGGTGAAGCCTGGGGCACCTACCATGTTTACGCCACTAAGCCCGTCACCACACCCACACCATTCCGAGTCTCCAATCACACTCCCCATGGGGCACCCTCCCCACCCCCCCCAAACAATACTTAATCCACACAGAAAACCTGCCAGTGACAACTCTCCAAGACAACCTCACTGTACCATATAAAACAGGTGAAGGTGTTTATTGGTCAGCACTGTCGCCGGGACAAGCAGCAGTGCTAGAGGTACAGAATGTTGCATGTTGGGGGAACATCTTTATGGAATCTACACCTAGCACTATATAAACTGACATCTGTTTCCGTACAGAGGGGTAAGTCATCTCCAGTGACCTTGTGATGTGCTATTACCACTTAACACAGCAGATAGATATATGCATCTATGGATAGATTATATATTTATTACAAATAACTGTAGTTTTGTGTCTCAAAAATGGATCCTGTTTTTACATATATGTTCACGTTCTCGATGTTCAAGAAAAGGTTGTGTGCTTATTTCATCCATGCAAAGCTCCTACTATATATCACTAAGGACTTTAAAAATAGAATGGTTTCCTTTTGAACAAAACCTGTTTAGATTTAGGTTTAGTAAAACAGTATGAAACTAATGAAATACATTGATAGAAATTAGGAAGTGATCTATACTGATGGTTCTTGGTATGTAAAGGGGTGAGGGACCAAAGGGCACGATCTTCCTTAGTCTGCCAGGAGAGAGTGGAAGGAGGAGGTGGGTCTGGTCAGTCATTGTCCATTCCAGGCTGAAAGCACCACAGATCAGCTTTCTGCCAAGCAGAGATCTTATCCTACCCACGAGGATCTTTTACTCCACGAGTCAAAATGTCCGTTCTGGCTGGAGATGAGGAAACCAGGCTGCCCTCATGTGTTTGACGGGGATCAGTGCAGACCCACCTGCTGGGCAGACCTCCTTCCCAGGAGCACATGTTCCAGAAAAGAAATTGGATGTTCAGTTAAATATTGGCACCGTCTGCCTGTGTTGAAGCCTCTGTGCTGCGCGACGGAGCTGGTCCTTGCCCCAACTCACTCAAACATCTCGTAGTGGCGCGTCTGCCTCACCCTGGGCACCATGTCAATGAGGAGTCTGCAAGGACCAGACAGACAACTTTTGAGTGTTTACTCACTAGAGTAAAAAGTTAGTATAAATTAGTAGATTTTTCGGTGATACTGCTACCACTTCAAAAAAGAAACCTAAATCTGGCCACTCCCTGTTCTCCCCACCTGCTCTGGCAACCACTAATTCTACCCAGTCTCTTTCCCTAAAAAGGAATTACTCCATACATCACTGACTTGTTTTCACTGGGCATCATTTTTTTGAGGCCCATCCGTGCTGTAACTCCACTCTAGGACCTGGCATAACATTTAGCCATTCATCTCAACTATTTCCAAAGTGGCTGCACCACTTTACATGCCCACCAGCAGTGTGTGAGGGAGACAGAATTTTGTTTTATTGCTCCCATTTTTCTTTTATTTGTGCATTCAAGAACTGGGGTGTAGGCCAGAAGTGCGGGGGGTGAGAGGCGTCACCAGAGACAGTGGGGAGCAGAACAGGCAGTCTGCTGAAACATGTCAGTTAGCTCCCTGGCCCAGGATAGGACTCAGCTGATGGCACCTGTGCGCACTGACAAGTCCCTTTAAGTGGAGGCCACTTCCTAAAGATGCCTTACTGGTATGGAACTGTAAAAAAGGACATAAAGCCTATGGCTCTTGTCAAAATCCTGGGTAAATCACAGAATAGCTCCTCTAATGGGAATGTTTCCAGTTACCAGGATTCACCCAAATTCAGAAGGGGTCACAGGGCAACAGGTTAGAAAGCACAGTAGAGCTTTCTGCAGCCACAGAAACTTGGGTTCAATCCCCAACCCAGAGGTGACCAACATGTCACGGCAGACCTCTCCTGACCTGCCTGCTGCTCCCCACTCTGTCTCTGGTGAAGCCTCTCACCACCCCACACAAATATATCTTTTAAAAAAAAAAGCTCATAGGCATGATATGATTGTTGGGTAGTACTTCTGGCTGCCAGGGAGGCAAAGATGAGCACAGGTACTTACTTGACTCCGTAGGCAAATATGGTGAGGCCAATCAGCACGCCGATGCTGCCGTCCAGATACCAGACTGCTGCATTGTGCTTGAACACCTCTGCACTCAGAAGAATGGAGAAGCCCATGACACCCCCCACTAGGGAGTTAAATCCTGAAAGAGAAGCAAAGACATGTGCCCAGTGAGCTTTGTTCACCACCAAGAAGAGTACCCAAATGCCAGCATGCTTCCCCATTCCAGAACATTCATGGGAAGGACTGTGCTCGCTTCAAAAGAGATAACAGCCACCTCAGACACCTGAATAGCCGGTCAAGTACACTCAAGTGTCACTAGAGCTATCGCCCCTGACAGTCTCTGTCCCCTCTCCTCATCAACGGCATGTGACTGTCCTCCCTTCCAACTAATCTGCAGGTTCCTGGACAGCCTAGCACACAGGAGATGTTCACATAGTTGGGGACTCAAATCTCTTGAATGTGTGCTAGGCATTGTACCAAGTGGGGATCTTCAGATTATCCTCCTTTTTTCCTAAAAAGTAAGTTAAACAGAGTCAGGTTAAATTAACTGACCAACTGAGAGAGGTAGGGTTGCTTTTGACCTGAACCCATATCCCTCCCCTCTAGAGCCTCCTTAATGTCATCTGAGAATTTTCACTTTCCAGGAAGAAAAATGAAGGTCTACAATTGACTACATGTTTGCAGAATGATTATAAAAATGAAACTGCCATTAATATACACCATTACCTTTCATGGCACTTCAGTTGGAAGGTAAGGCCTGGAGTGGCTCTGAGGGGACCTCATTGTGCTGCAAGCCAGGTTCCTCACCTGCCTCAGTGTAACGAGGGTCTAGCTTCACTTCCCAGGCAATTCCTCTTCTGTCCATACCTTTTCTGAACTCCAAGCATTAGCCTTAACCAATGTTATTCTCACCACTACCCATCAGCTGCACTGCTGCAGTAGCCAATTCACCACACCCCCAATGTGCCCTCCAACCCATTCCCCTCACAGCAGCCAGAGGACAGGGTGGTCTCTGGCAGTGAACAGGAAGCCTGTCCAATTGTGAGTACTAACCAAGCTCTCTGGCTGGTGAGAACTGCCTTGAGGACCTCCCTCCTGCTGCAGGGCCTGCTGACTCAGCACCTGGAGCCTACACCCTGAGTCTCCTCTGACTGTCCACCCCACTTCTCCATTTTTCTCTATAGTTCTTTACTTCACAACCTAATTTCACCATTTTTCTTTCTACAGACATAAGGATAATGATTTTGTCTTCCTTTGAGCAAGGCTGACACTTAACAACAGAGGAAAAGGCAGGCATGGAATATGACCTTACCAGTGCTCCCAAAGACTGCAGCTAGAATTGTGGAGACTGCCATGCACCACAAGGGATTTGGGCAGGTGAACCTTTACAGCTTAATTTCACCTGATAACAAGGAATTTAACTGGGAAATACAGATACTGCCATCTTCCTCGCCCCCAGAGGCTATATCCTCTGAAAACCAACCTTACCTACCTCCTCCATCATTCACTAGGACACCTTTGGCAGCTTTTTCCAGGTGTCCTGGGAGCATAAACAGTGGTTGCAGTTTCACTCCATATGCACCCAACTAGCTTCTAGCCCCAAGGCCAATGCTCCATGTCTTCCTTCCACTCTAACCCTGCAGGCAAGAGGTAGGCACCTGGGCTCTTGTACTACTCTCCATCTTCACTCCTTATGCAGTTCATGTAGCTAAGCCCTATCTGATTTCAGCACACCCTGGAACCTACCTCAATGCCTCACAAAGGAGTGGGCAGGGGGTGATAGGTCCACTGTGAAAAGGGTAAGACGATCTCCCACCTGTCTTAAAACGTCTCAAAGTCGTATTTCCCTGTATGAGAGATGGTCTTCACTCTGACTGCCTTGAATCCTGTTCTAACAGGTGGAATCAGACCAGTCCTTTTAAATAAAAGACCACCAAAGCATCAACAGGCTATGAGTTTTTTCAAGTTACCTGAGGTGAGAAGAGACACGGGAGGTTGCCAATGCCCCAGGGCAGACTGGAATCCATCTTTGTCATGGGCACAAGTAGGGTTCCCACTGTACAAGGGAAGCTCAGAAATGCTGGATGTGCATGAGATTCCCCTGTCAGCCACTAGAGGGAGACACCGCTCCACCAACTCATCAGGCAAGGCCTGGAAGCAGGCCCTTGCTAGTTTACAGTTGATGGATTCCCCTGGTGCTTCCACCTGTTCCAGGAGGAACTTCACACCTGCTAAGCTCCTCTCACCTTGGGTTATGACCAAGCTGAGCTGACACACCAGTGTTATCGCTTACCAGCCTGCACGGGGATGCTGGAACAAACAAGGACTTGAGGACCAGTAATGCCTGTCCCACCCATCCTTCAGTGACAACTTGGCATGATCATCCCACATAAAGATGCCTGAGCTTACAGCCTTGCCCACCTGCAATGTAGCACACCTCTGGAGTTTGGTCACCACTGACCCAGGCCTACAAGCTGGGTGCTATCCTTTCAGTTCAAAACACAGAGCTGTTGTACAAAATAAATGCTGCTCTCTATTTAAGAGCATAAAACAATGGATGAGTGTGTCCTAATTTGAGCCTCCAGTCAAGTCTTAGGTAAGACTTTAAGTACATTCTATGCAGAAAATTCTGATTTTAAGTTTTTCATGTGCTTGAAAATCATTATAGACGCTTGGTAGTTAAGAACTGTAAAGGAGTGAGAACTGCCAGTCGAAGCGTCTAAGCCGTGAAGTTTCTGGCGGCTGCCTCAGAGCCCAAGCCAGGTCCCTAAACTCAGTCCAGGCACCGTTTCACGGTCAAGTTGGACTTGTACTATTAATTTGCTGTGCAACCATTTTGCCTTAACACAAATCCAACGTCCTGACGGCTGTTCAAATCAACAAAACCGATTTTTGTAAGATTTCCTGCACTGTGCAGCACATTCAGGAAGTCAGCCCACCCCTGAACATCTGCTTCCCGACTGTAAGGACCAAATCCAAACAGAGGTCCGGGTGGAGTCAGCCTGAGCCAGTTCTTGGGAAGCAGCCACTGGAAGTAAGACCTGCCTCCTCCCACACTGAAGCAGTTCCCCAAATTTACACCCTTCCTGGAGAAAAAATCATTTGTCACCCCCATCCCACCTACCATCCTGCTCTAACTTGACAGGGGCATTCACTCCTGTCAGCCCCTCATAGAGCAAACAACATCAGTCAAAGCTGAGCTCCCCTCCACCAAAGTGAGGGGAGAACACAGAGGTGATAATTACAGCTTCTTCCCTAGTTCTGTTAATCAATGAATGAGTTAAAACCAGGATCCCAGACAATACAATTAGCAGGAGGCTGTAATTAGTGCAGCATATTTTGCTGACACTCCCACCAAGCAAGGGATTGTACAACATGCTCATCCCCCAGGGGCCCCTGATAGCTAACAAGGTTGGGGGGTGGGCACACCTAGGAGCCCTGCCATGTCCCCCCACTCTCTAGAAGCCACATTACCTACTTCCCTCTTCTTCTCCACCCAGCCAGCCACCACAGGCATCTTTGCAAACACCAATCTTGTTACCTTGTCTATTTAAATATTTAGCAGACCATCCAAAATCTTGCTTTTCCCAAAAATCCTGCATGATCCGCCTTTGTCCACTCATGAGGGCCCCCACACACCTCTCCCCGGTGGCTACAGACCCATTGCCAGAGATCTCTTCCCTGCTTTCCACCTGTTTGTGAAACAATTTTCACTTAATGCACCCACTTCTCCTTAGTTCAAATACTGCTGACGTGTGTAAAAATGATGAAGTCAGAAGCCATTTCACTAGAAGAAACACTTATCATAGAGATTGTCACTAAATGCCATACGAAATGGGGAACTGTAACAGTGAAGCTTAGTTAGAAAGTGACTACATCTGTAACGTCAGGTCTCATTATTCTGAGAAGGGGACCAAGCCGGGAGGTAGGAAGGGGAACAGACCTGGGAAAAGGTCTGATTTCTGGGTCTACTCTCAAGATTCCAGCAAGCATGTGTCTTGACTGAGGATAACTGAATACATTTTTTTTTTAAATCCAACATTCTGCAAGTCAGAGCACTTTGTGACTTAAGGACCTATGTGGGGACTGATAACCCCTGGATTTGGCCAGAGTCCAGAGAGGCAGTGCCTCACCTAGGCCTATCTTCCCCACCCCCCATGTCTCAAGGAACCTGAGAAGGGGGCACACAACACATGTCTGCAGAAGCCACATCCTCAGCTCTGGTCAGGCCTAAAGGGCCCAGGTAAAGCTTTGTCACTGAGAGAAACAAGGAGGAACCTGGAAAGTGGCAGGAAAATCCACAGCCAAACACCCTGTGTGAGTGCTCATGCAGCCTTCCACACCAGCACAATCACCCCCTAGCTGGCTGTCCCTAAGGAAGACTCCGAAGTGGTCAAAGGAGACACTTATTCAGGTTAAAACCATCAGCACACAAAACCACGGTGAATGAACTTCTTCCCAGATTCTGAGCAAAGGCAGCACCAAACACCATGCCTGGCACACAAGAACTCCATAGAAACTCCTGGTCTGATGCCACTGCAGCGCTTTGCCCCAACAGCAGCAAACACAGGTACTAATATCAGCTGTAGCCTGACTTAGCGCAGGAAGTAGGAGGGCAACCTTGGAGTTCATCTTGGAGCTTGGGAAGATGAGCTGGGCCACTTGCTACACGCAAAGGGGCTTTCATGTTGCTTGAAAGAAGAGCAAGCCAGAAGAGAGCTCAACCCCAGCAGCTCATCTTTTACTGTTTAAAAAGCTCTGGTTTCATATAGTTAACGGGTGAATAGCCTAAGAACAAAGACTGTGTTGCAAGGGCATACATTGACAGCAGAACCTACTGGAAGTAGCAACTGAGGAAAGTTTTTAAGAGAAGCTGATCCCAGTGACCTGTGGGAGCACTTGACACCACAGGGCCTCCTGTGCAACACTCTAGGATCCCTCAGATTGGCCATCCAGGCAGCACCAAACCTCAGTGTGTGCATCACATGGATGGGGATGCTGCTATCAAATATCATTTCCTAAGTCACACTTCAAACTCCCAGAATCACAATCTTTAGGGTTGAGGCCCAAGGGTCTATGTTGCTGAAAGACACCACAAACAATTCTGATCTTACCTATGGTAGTCGTCTACTGCTAGCATGACAGATCCTAGAGTCCCCAACATCTGGTCTGTCCATACATGCGCATGGGTCATGTGACTCCCAGGGCATCTCCCTTTCCTTCCCACAAGATGAGTGCAGACTCAGGAGGAATCAGGAACAGACCGTGCTCAGTCCCAGGGCAGAAAAAGCACTTAAACATCCTGCCCACCTGCCCCCGTGCAGCAAAAGCCCCACTCCACACACAGCAGGACAAGATCAGCCAGCTGTCAGCATCATGTCCCAGGCTGCATTGTTTGGGAGAGAAGGGCTGTCTTGACAGCCACCCCGATATTCCCAGTAGCCCATGCACCCCTGTGTTCATGTATGTCACCTAGGTGAGAACCTGTCCAGTTTGGGGGCCAAAAGTAGTTCTTCACAAAGAAATCCAACAACTTTTGATCTACTTTGTGTACCCACTAATCCAGGTTCCAGGCACTCATGTGTCTACTCCTGCCACCCACCCCACCCCGGAAACTAACTAAACCAGCAAGGATGAGGAAGAAAATAGGGAAATGGTGGCATTTGTCATTTCTTGTTCAGGTGCCAGCACTAATTTGCAGATCGAAATGCACTTTTCCTATTCTAACTTCCTTCTGTTATCCCAAAGGTCAGGAAGCTCCTCCTGGCTCATAGAGACACACAGGGACTTTGTACCTGGCATGGCTTTTAAGCAGTGGACACAAAGCTCACTTCCCCCGGGAAACCCTGGTCATTGCAACCTAAACTTCCCCTCACAAGCTGGAGGGGAAACAGGAATGGAGAAGCCACAAAAGAAATATTTATAGGATGCAGAAAAGACATTTCCTTTTTACATGGGGTGGTGCATAGAAAAACTCCAGTAAGCACTTTGTGCTTCATGATTAAGAGGCCAGCTCACCCCAGGGTGCAGGTCAGGGTAAGAGTAACTCATGAAGGTTTTATTAAGTTCCCAGACACAAAACCTCTGCCCTAATATGAGAACCCTGAGAATCACTACACGGCAGAGGGGCAGGGGGAGGAACAGATTCTGAATTATTGAGCTTTTCTACAAGACAAGCAATTAAAAGAGACCCAAACAGCATCTTCCCTTACAGTGCGCGCAGACCCCTGAGATCAGGCATAGGGGCCTTACTCACCATCTGTTATGAGTGCTCTGCTGGTCAAAACTTTCCCCAGCATAAATTTCAACACGGCCAGGATGCTGCACAGGATCCCACTTAAAATGGAGACACTGAACAGAAAATCGTCCTACAAGAGAAAGTGACAGATTTCAACAGTTTACCTCCTGCTAGAGCAGGTTATCTGCACACCACTTGCTTTAAAGTTCAACTTTGTTTCCAGAACAAATAATCAAGTATGCCGCCACCAGGTGGAAGTACATAGCTTGTTTTCACATCTCATTTTCCTATGTCACTGGGACCTGGAAAAATGATCCAGCTGTATGTTTTCTTAGAAGCCCACTGGCATTTCTCTCCCTGTAGGAGATCCCCCTCCCACTATTCTGTCCAAATGGTTAGTAATCAGTGATCAATAGCACAGTTGTTCAGAATGCTAAAAGCAATGCCTTCTCTAGCTGGACTGCGTGATAGACAATTCACTAAGCAGCTGACTGATAATTTTGGAATTCTCAGGCCACTGTTCTGAAAACATTTCAGTATAGAACCAAGTAAATTTGCCACCGGGTCATCTGTGGCTGGAGCTACTTATAAACCATACTTACTCTTTCACACAAAGCAACTGGAAGTTCAAATATAGACTTCAAGGTGGGGAAAGGCATCTAAAAATATAACCTACTACTGACGTTATCTTAACACTCCCTTTAAGTTGTTACCTCTGCAAGCAAACGAATCACATGCAAACATGCAAAAATGAGCACCACCACCTCATGACAACAGGGCAGCTCAAACTCCTGCTTCAAGCTCCTTGTGTCACTCCCAGGAGACACAGTCTCGAGAATTTCTGATACAATTGTCATCAGTCATCTAATAAAGCAGCATATATGTGCAAGGAAATAGAACTCCTTAAGCATTTTATTATTTAAATTCCCCAACCTAGTAACAGAAAACTGGAAAGAGAAAAAAGCCTATTTTTATGGGTTCAAATCTGAACAAAAAATTAGTTCATTCAAAAATCATTTCAATGGAAAGACCTGCATGACATGAAAGCATCTACCCACCAATACTGATCAATGGTTGTGGTAGTTTTAACTCCATCCATGAGGCTGAGCTCAGATCCTCTCCAACACCTAATGTGGGCTGGACTTTGTGACTTCGACCTCGGGTATAGAGAGGGAGAAATAGCAACTTTGCAGTGGAGAAGCCCAGTGGATGTCACTTTAGCGTAGTGACCAAGATTCATGACCACTACTAAGTAACACTGAGATCACATGTCTCCTGATATAACGAGAGATCATCTCAGCGGTGTTCACAATACAGCCCTAACCTCAGCTGAATAGTGAACAGTCATCAAACATTTGCACCAAATACAGAAATACTGTTTTTCACATATGCCAATGTCATGAGACAAAGTACAATCCAGATTGGGAACCAAGGAGATTTGAAGACTAAATGCCACAGTGTCCAAAGTGATCCATGGAAAAAGGCCCTGGAGGAGGAAGGACACTAGGGAGTCAGAACAGATCTGAGAGTTTTGTCAACAGTATTGTCACCATCTCATTTTGGTAAAAGCACCCTGTAGTCTATGTAAAATATTAATATTAAGGTAAGCTGGAGGAAAAGTATACAGAAACTCTACTGTTTTTATAGCTCTTCTATATCAAATTTTAAAACTTTCAAAAATAATCACCCTCACTAAAGTTCCAGTTCCCCAAATTATCAGTAAGGACTATGCCAAGCCTGTCTTCTTGACAGATCCCCAGTCCCTGCAAGAAATTAGCAGGGAGGACCCCAAATCCAAGTCCGTTTTAGGGAGGGATTCAGCCTAATTTGGGGAGGTGTCACTCAATAACAAAATGCAAACATGAGACAACAATCACATCAACTTATACTCAGGTGGTGATGAGATTCAAAAAGTGTGAAATGGGAGACTACAGCAGCCCATTAACCCCAAATTTAGAGAATGAATTCTCATATTACTCACCCCATGCTTAAAGCCTGTTTTACATCACTCAGTCTCTGTAGTAGCCTATCCCTAAATTTCCAGAGTTGGAAAAGTTTGTGTTGATCCAAAATAGATCCCAGGAAGTTGGGGGTTGAGCTGCTCCCAATTCCCAAATGCAAAATTAGAAGTAGCCTGCTAATCCTGGTTACTGCTGACCTGGGGATTGGCTGGCAAAGAGATGCACCAGCAGACCTTTGCTCAAATCCAGTCTCCACCACTGACTGAGAAACAGTGCCACGCTCTGGGCTCTCAGACCTCTCTTCCAAAGAGAGCAGGGTTACAGCTACAGCCCCGGTTTGCAATCAAAGGAAACAATGGCTATCAGAAGCTGAAGCACAGCACTCCTACATTGCTATAGAGGAAACATGTGGGGTTTGTTACCTAGAAATAAGAATACATGGTGAAATGTAAGGAAATATAAGCAGCAATGACAGGGATGCAGAGTGTATCAAGGGTGAAGGCGTACTTGGGACTTGTCCCTTTTCCGTAGATGTGTCATCTTAGACACACTCCCTGACATGGCTGTCTCTGAGGTCCACATCTGGAAGGAGCAGGGGATGAGGGTATCAATGTAATAAAGTGGGAATGTTGTATCAATAATACTAATAAAGCACTGAAGCAGAAGCCTCATGTCATAGCTATGTGACAGGACAAGATTCCTCACTCTCTTTTTTCATTTCCACACAAGTAAAATAGAAAAAAGAGCACACCCACCACTACTGTTTGTTGTGTGCCATGTCCACAGATCTCAGCAGGAAATATCTGTGGCATTTCCTTCCTTCAGTGGGCCACCAAGACTCTGTGAGATCTGCAAGGTGGAGGTGAAGTGGCAGCCACTTGTCCTGCAGGCACAGGGCAGCTGCCCCCACATGTGAGCTGCGTGTCCACTCTACCCAGTGAAGGCAGGTCAACAGCCCCACCACAGCTCCTCCAGCTGTCTGAGTCCTCAGCCAGGCGTGAGGACATGGCCAAAGGCACTACCTACTTCCACAGGTCACCTGTGTCACTGAGGCTGAGACAGTGAAGGTCAGCTGCAAATTCCAGTCACCACAGATTATCAACTCTATGCCCAGGTATTGTTTCTGCCAGGCCTCCCTGCTGGCTTCAGGCCCAATCCCAGACTCTGGGGCAGCAGCCTGAAAGCAGCTTCTTCCTTGGCCGCACCAACCCCCTATTCTGTACCTTGTAGAGTAATCCCATTTCTCTGCTTGTCCTGACATACCACTTCGTAAGAGTATTTCAAGGAGCTTAAACAGCACATGGCACACAGTAAATGCCACATCGGAATGTGGAGAAGCCAGTATGCCACACAGGTTTCCTGTCCATGGATTTTTTTTTCTACCAACCACCCTGAGCTCTCAGGATCAGCTGCCTTCCCAAAGTCTGATAGACCAGAGATTGTGGCCACCTTGAAGCCTCACACAAACCTACAAGACTTTCCACACAGTTATTGAATTGATTGGTCTTTGAAAAAAAGAAAAAACTCTCAAATGAACACAGAGGCCCTATAGTGCTATCGTACCTCTTTTGAAGTCCTGTGACATCCTCTGTGACCCAGAGCCCACCTGCTGTGCTCTCCCCACACAGCCACCACATGAGTGTGCAACTGAGATACGGTCACCATCAGGCTTCTGCAGATATCAGAGTCCGCAAGGGACTGAATGCTTGTGTCCTCTAGAATGTGTGTTTTGAAGCTTCAACCCTCAGTGTAGTATCTGGAGATGGAGCCTTACGAGGTAAACAGGCTTAGATTAGGGCACGAGGATAGGGCCCTCATGATGGGATATGTATCTTTATAAGAAGGGAAAAAGATCTCTCTCTCTCCACCTGCCAGACAGTGACTGAGGAAAGACAGGTAAGGTACAGATGGGGTCACGTGAGAAGATGCTCATAGGCAATCCAAAGAGAGATTCTCACCACCCTGCTTCATGCTAATCTGGGAGTTCCAGTTCCTGTGAGAAATTCCTGTTTACATGCCACCCACCCACTCTATGGCATTTTGTTATGGCAGCCCAAACTGACTAAGACAGTTTAATAAATGAAGCACTTTCTAACAGGATATCTTACTGAGAGTCAGGCAGGAAGCCAGAGCAGACATGGCTAATGAAGAAAAATTGCAATGTGCCACCATTGGCTTCCTTCAAAGTGCAGCCATACCTGTGATGTCTCACTTCATTCTCATATCCAAGTCAAGCAGACACCTGACAGATGAAGAAATACATGCACAGAAGCTACATGACTTGCCCAGTGCCACTCAGCTAGTGGCAGAACCTGGATTTGTTCCGAAATGTAAACTGTAACAGAGGCCTCATCTATACTCTTGTCATTTTCTCTCATGCTACTGAACTGTGGACTCTAAAAACAGAGATATCACCTTGGCAGGTATTCAGTCTCCACTGTTAACAGCACTGGGACCTGATGATTTCTCACAGTTGAATCACCACTGAATGGGTAGGTCAGGGCAGAAAGTCTCACAGAAACCGGCCACTTACTAGAAAGCCAAGGATAAATGTAACAACAGGTCCCAAATAATTTCCTTTAATTCAATGTCTTTTCATTACAACGTTGACAAGAAAGAAACGGCCCAACTAGCATCAAACATGTTATTCAAAGAACTGCTTTGATCATACATAGTTTCACTACAAGTTGCAGTTTTCAAGACTGTTAAGGATGTTTAGTGAATACTTAACTGTGTAGGAAAGTAAGTGGGACATAAATTACTCAGTGTTCATATGGTGGAGGCCTTTCATACCCATCTCAAAGCCTTAAAAGAATGATACAGTTCACTACATAGAAATTAAAACATGTGCAGGGAGTGGGTTGTGTAAAAATGCAAATTAGAAAAATATTGTAAAGAGTTATTACCTTAATATGCAAAGAACTCCTAAAAACCCATAAGAAAATACTAATAGAAAACAGGTAAAGAACAACTAAATTAAAGTGAACTTTAAACATATGAATGATACTCAAACTGTCTCCTAAAACAATGACAACCAAAACTACAGAGGTATCATATATCACTTAATCAGATGCATTATTAAAATGTTTTGCTTCAGGATAGACACTATAAGAATATAAAAGAAAGTCAGAGTGTTGGGGAAGGAGAATTGCAAAGCAAGTTTGTTAAG